AAGATGCAATCTCTACCGTGCATCAGTGGCGGCCCGCTGGATCTCAATAGAGATTCTTTAATAATATATAAATTTTAAAAATAAACCAATCCGTGCAGTACTGAAACACATTTTAAGGTACTTAGAGAGTGAAGAGGTGGAGGCTCTTGAAGATGGTGGCAAAAGCATCCTGCTCGTGGTGAAGTCAAAAATTCAAGAGTTTATGGCATCTCCAACAAGTTCAACTGAAACCACACAATCACTGCCGTCATCCCTTGAGATGTTTAAAAGGTAATTGAAAATAAAGGGACAGATTGGCAAACTGTCCTACTTAAGCGTTATGAGACAGATAGAAGATGGTCTCACCCGTGGTTACAACCGTAGTGCCATCTTAAATTCTGTAACTATGGCTGTAACAAGTGGAACTCCACTCCGAGGCTATCTAGAAAGTCGGCCGGAAATGAGCCTAGTTCAGCTCAGACAAGTCTTGCGTTCCCATTTTAAAGAAGGTGATGGACTGGACTCCTACTAACAACTGTCTTCCGCTTGCCAACAGCCTGGTGAGTTGACTCAAGAGTTTGTCGTCAGGGCTATGAACCTCCGTCAAAAGGTGAGATTCTCATCCAATGAGGAAGGAGCACTGCTGATGTACGACGATCAGTTGTTGCGAAGTACGTTCCTCCAGACACTGCAGACAGGTCTTAGAGGAAACTTACGCAGTGAGATGAGGGAGCACCTTCAGGAACCCGGTATCTCAGATGAAGACCACCTTGAGAGGCTTGCCCGAGTAGAAAATCTTGAGGAGAAACGGAAACAGAAACAATGTACATCAAGCACCGTAAAAGTTGCCAGTGCAACTGTTAGCAATATATCGTCACCAGCGATGAAATCAAACTGCTGGTTGAAGGACTGAAGACTCTTTAGGCAAGTGTTTCCGCTTTGCAGGGAGTTGTACGACACTCAAACAAAGGTGGGCGCAACTCAAGAGGAAGGGGATGTAGCAGTTGCAAGCAGAACGGTAGGGGAGATGATTGTAGGCATTGTTACAAGTGTGGAGGTGACAACCACTTCGCTAGGGCTTGCACCACCAACCAGGGAAACGGGCCCCGATCATCCAGCGGGACTTGGAATGATCGCAGATAAACCAAACACGTCCCTTAATTCCAACAAGCATGAGATAGAGGTGGCCAAAGGTGATTCCTTGGATCGAGGCCAGTCTGGGGTTGATCACTCTAAAGAGAGTTGCAGTAACCAGTCAAAGATAGATCCAGAAAGGCAGCATCAAAGTAGCCACCTCACACCTGGGCAACACCAACGAATAGTCAACCTCATAGGTAGACGATGCACTGTCAGATGCAAATTAAACGAGAAAATTGAAGAGGTTCTATGGGACACAGGTTCTCAAGTATCGATAGTGTCTCAGACATGGTGGAAGACAAGTTGCCAAGATGAACCACTGAGGAATTTCAGGAAACTTCTGCAACAAGATCTCAAACTTACTGCTGCCAATGGTATTAATATACCCTATATAGGATGGCTTACTCTGAAATTTCAACTTTTATCTACCAACAATCAACATTTTCTACTTTAGTACCAGTCTTAGTAACAGCTGATAAACTTCAACAACCAATCATTGACTATAATGTAATCAAAGAAATTGTACAAATTGACCAACCTGAACTTGTCAGGGCAGTAAGAACATCATTTCCAAAATGTAATCACATCAAAGCTACGAAGTTAATTTCAACGATGCGCAATTCTGATCCTACCGACTTTTGCAATGTACATTCAGGAAATTTGGTACATGATGTCCCAGCGAAGCAGACGATATTTATAAAAGTTAGAACCATAACTGCTCCCATCCAGAAAAAGATGATGGTGATATTTGAACCATTACTGGAACCACATCTCCCTGATGGATTAGAAGTCAACGAAAATGTAGTTGAATTAAAATGCCGTTCCTTTAATTATATCAGAGTCCCAGTTACCAACAAAACTGACCAAAATTTAATAATTCCCAGGAAGACCTTGTTGGGGAAATTACAACTTGTGAGAGCTATCTATCGGGGTGTGTTAGAAACTGGAAGTGATGGAGCCGTGTCCACAAAAGATGTGAAAACAGCTAGTGTCGATGCGATTTCGGTGAACGAAGATTGGAAATCCAAGATCCAGTTAAACCACCTAACTAATGATCAACGGTCGATAGAGCAAATGCTCCAAGAGGAAGCTAATAGCTTTTCCCAAAATGACCAAGACATGGGCACGATACCAAGTCTCCAGATGAAAATTAATCTAACCGACAACATACCGGTACAAAAGACATACCAATCAATACCAAGACCTCTCTTCCAAGAAGTAAAGGATTACCTCACTGACTTAATCGATCGAGGTTGGATTGTGAAGTCTGAATCTCCATATGCATCACCAGTAGTGTGCGTTCGAAAGAAAGATGGAGGGTTGCGATTGTGTATTGACTATAGAGACCTGAATCGTAAGACTATACCGGATTGTCAACCTATTCCTCGTATCCAGGATGTTCTCGATAGCCTTGGGGTAATCGATGGTTTAGCACGTAGGACCAAGGGAAAGCGTATCATCAAGGCTACATGACAACTGATAGCCGTCCACTCACCGCTTTTGTCACTCCCTGGGGGTTACACGAATGGGTCCGCATACCGTTTTGACTAAAAAATAATGCCCCAGCTACATACCAGAGATGCATGGAAGAGGCTTTAGATGGTTTAAATCATCGTATTTGTGAGGTTTACTTGGATGACATTATTGTGTACGGTAAAACTTTTGACGAGCATCTAACCAATTTTAAAGAAGTTCTACAACGGGTTCGAGAGAAGGGTATGAAACTAAAACCAACTAAATGTCTCCTATTTCAATCAGAAGTCAAATATTTAGGGCGAATCATTAGCCATGAAGGTTACCGACCAGATCCTAAAGATAGGCTCTTCAGACACTTGAGACAAAATTTCCCAAGACTGTAGGCGAAGTGAGAAAACTCTTTGGTTTTACTGGATATTATCGTTAGCTATTGAGCTAAACCTTTATTCGTTCTACTAACGCAAGCCAGAAGTTTAATGAACCAGTCCAGGAACAAAAAGAAACGAACTAAGCGGAATCAAAAAGATAAGGGACAAGTCCCTTCATCAACTCCAATAATTTGGCTTCCAGTGTATCAACAGATTATAAATTCGTTTATTGACGAGCTGAGTCAAGCCCCAATTATGGCATTTCCTGATTTAAAAAACCCTTTGAGCTTCATACTGATGCATCGCAAGATGGACTTGGTGCTGTATTGTATCAATGCCCAGATGGAGTGCTACGAGTTATCGGGTATGGATCACGTTCTCTTTCACCCACTGAAAAGAATTACCCCCTTCATTTAGGCAAGCTTGAATTCTTAGTTCTTAAGTGGACCATAACCAGTCACTTCAGAGATTACCTATCCTTTGCAAAGTCATTTACCGTCTACACAGATAATAATCCACTCACGTACATATTAACTACTGCCGAATTGAATGCCGTAGGTCACAGATGGGTTGCAAAACTTGCAGACTTCAATTTCACAATCAAATACAGACTTGGTCGAAGTGATAAGGATGCTGAAGGTCTTTCGAGAATCCCAATGACACCTAGTGATTTTGGTCAATGTACAGAAGTTAGTTCACCTTCGGTAATGGACGCTGTAGTCCGGGATGTTGAAATACAACTTGAAAAGTGTAAAGGGGGCTATGAATATATTTTAGTCGTGATGGATCATTTCACTAGATTCGCTCAAGCTTACCCAACAACCAACAAATCAGGCAAGACGGTTGCTGTCAGGATTTTCAATGATTTTGTTTTAAAATTTGGTTACCCACGTCGACTCCATCATGATCAGGGTCGTGAATATGAAAACTCACTCTTTCGACGTCTTGAGCAACTCAGTGAGATTAAAGGTTCCAGAACGACCCCATATCACCCACAGGGAAACGGACAACCGGACCCCGTACTCTTACCACTGACCAAAAGAACGACTGGAAGCTTTAAACAAAGTTGTTCATGCTTATAATATCACTCGTCATGAAAGTACAGGTTATTCACCCCACTTGTTGCTATATGGACGTTCACCCCGGTTGCCGATCGATTTAGCGTTTGGATTGTCACCCGATGGACACTCGGATGAAACAGAATACAATGAGTATGTTAAGAAGCTGAAGGAAGCCTACAACTTGGCTAGGACAAGTGCACAAAAGTTAGCTGATAGAAGCAAAAGGCGACATGACAAGAATTGTGTCCCTCCTGGTGGTCCTGGTAAACTCCAAAGCTTTTATGAAGACAAGATACATGTAGTGGTATCTCAAAAGCATGATTTACCCGTTTATGAATTACGTACAGAAGATGGAGATGGTAGATTACGAATTCTACAGAGAAACTTACTTTGTCCCTGCGATGCTATGGTGGTGGATCCTTCACGTGATAATTTGAAATCCACAACGAAACAAAAAAAAAAGACCCCGGACCATAGATCACCGAGAACTAAGAAGACAGAAAGCACTGGAGTACACCCGAATAAAACAATTTCGATTCGGATGATGGAGAAGATGAGGGGAAGCTACCATATCCTCTGTTAGCTAACCTCACACAAACTAACCAAGAGACTTCGACCAGTGTTGATTTATACATAAATGCTCAACAACAACCGGTAGTGGATGTACCACTAGCGGAACAGATGGAGGCAGAAGGTGACACACCTTCACCTTCTGTATTACATGACCATGCCAACAGTCCTGATGTCATTGTTCCAGATTTAGAAACTGGACGTCATTTCGGATCACCTGCACCACAATGTATGCAGATTGCGGGAGATAACCAAGTTACACTACCAAATCAACATTTGAATCACTACTGGAATGGACCCAGGCAATTTTATCCACAACAATATCACCAGGGTTATCAAAATCAGATAAGATATGAACCACGATTCACTGAAGTTCATCCGAATACACCGTGGGTACCACCCGTTTATCCAATGTTCAATTGTCACCAGCCACCCAATTCTAACTAGGACTTTTGACTATATAACAACTGTTTAAGAAGTGTTTTATAACGGATAAACACAGATATGAATACTTTTAACTTGAGTTGGAACAGGAACATTAGTGACTGGATTTTGAAGTGAATTAGCAAGTTTTTTTGTTGTGATCAGGAGCTACGGCGAGTTAATAAATAGTATTGGAATGGTAGCTACCGGCACTGGATCACAAACTGTGGAATTGCTGATGATGATACCGTTTATTGTGTTGCGATTGTCTGACGACGAGATGGACCAGTTCTTCTATGGATGTATCTTTAGGCTTTAATAGTTATTGTACCTA